GCCTTGAGGAGGACAACGGGCAAGCACGAGAAGCTTGTCCTCTGCATTTTCGGTGTCAAGTTCCCAACATGCAGACATTGCTGTTTATCTGCATTTGCACATTTCATCTCCATAAACTGCTCAGGCATCTTTAATTCATTCCCCCTCCTTTGCCTCCCACGGCCTGCCGTGCAGACCTTTGTTACTCTGCTCTGCCAGTGGTGCTCCAGTGCGGGGCTGGGCCCTGGAGGCCCAGGGGCAAATAAGAAAGCACTGCTACCCTCAGAGGGCCTCAGTCTTGTGAGGGAGAAAGATATGTGTACAGGTGACTTTTATTCACTATCATTCAGGATGCTCAAAGTACAGTGGGGCATAATCGGAATGTCCAGCTGTAGGGCTTGGCTAAATAAATTGTCTCTTTGTGATGGAATATTATACAGTTGTTTCAAAAGATGAGGGTGAGCTCTACGTACTGACGTGAAAAGCAATCTGTGATTATATATATAAGTATATATGTATGTGTGTATCTGTCTGTCTATCTATCTATCTATCCATCTATCTATCTATCTTCAAGGACTGATAAACCAAACCATTACTAGTGAATAGCTAAGGGTGGGCTTATAAGAGACTTTCATTTCTATTTATACATTTAGGCATTATTACCCTTCTTGTAACAACATGTACACTATTAAAAATCACTGCGATTCTTCCTTCATTCCACAGGTCTCATGGAGCAGCCATCGGTGCCAGGCACTGCTCTGGGCACTAGGCATACCATGAGTCACAAACAAGACCAGACTCCTGCCCCCATAGAGCCGACAGTCTGTTGGGGGAGTCCGCTATTAGTCAAAAAGGCACGGACTACATTTCAGGTGGTAATAAGTGATCTGAAGACAAGTAAACAATGAAAGGAGAGAGGGACTTGGCAGGAGGAAGAGATGTGCTACAGGGGATGTTCGGGGAAGTCTTCCCTGTGAAGATGTGACACTTGAACTGAAACCTGAAAGATGAGAAGCGACCAGCTGTGCAGAGAGCTGAGAGAACAGTGTCCCAGGAGCAGGGAGCAGCAAGTGCAAAGGCCCTGAGGCCCACACTAGCTTGGCTGACTCGAGGAACAGTACAAAATTTGGAGAGCTGGAGTGTGGCGAGGGAGGGGAGGCTGCAGGAGATGAGATCCTGGAGGTGCAGGGCCAGACCCCACAGACCTTGCAGACCGCAATGAGGACACTGACTTTTACTCTGAGTGTACTGGGAGCCAAGGGCAGGTTTTAAACAGGGAGTCACATGAGATGTTTTATGCTTTAAAAAGATCATTCTGAATACAAGTGAATCAGGGCACAAAAATGGAAGGAGGTAACCAGTTAAAAGATTGTGGCAGGAATCCTGATGAAAAATGGATGTGGCTTAGGCTAGCGTAAAATGAAGAGCTATTTCCCCTGTGGAACACGGAACTAGAATGGTCAGGCAAATGAAGAAAAATGCCTGCCGTGGTAAGAACACTGATGACAGACAAATATTTTTCCAGGGAGAGGGTCGGGGAGCACGGGGCAGGAGGGTATTGGAAAAAATGGCAAAGAGGGGGTGCCATTTGAGAAGGACCTTGAAAGCGTGTCTGCGGTTTGCCGGGTGGAAGGAGGTTATGAAAGGAAGCACCAGCCTGAGGAAGCCTGAACTCAGCTCAGCTGTCTCGGCAAAGGGGGAAGGGCTATCACCCAGCCCACACGCATGCTCACACTCGCACACACAGCCATGCATGCTCACACTCAGACACACATCTAGGCCCTGCACACACACCCTCACATGTGCACACGTGGACACGCCCCACACTCACATGGGCTTGCCCCATCGGCGTGTAAGCATGAAACACACATGAATACACTCTCACAGCAGCACTTGCTCACGCATACACACACTGACCCTCAACCACACACACACACACAGCATCTCAGAGACCTAGCTTTTCAGCAGAAGAACCAGGTATTTAAGAGTCAAACTGCTCAGGTTCAAATCCCAGTGTCCTAACTGTGTGAGCTTGGGCAAATCAATTAACTCTCTGTGCCTCAGTTTCCTCATCTGTAAAGTGGGGATTAAATGAGCCAATGTGTGTGTAAAGTTCTCAGAACAGCGCCTGGCACATGGTAAGCACTGCATGAAGGCCACTTAGTGTCAGTGTCATGATTACTATCATATTTTGCAGACCAGGAGGGAAGTCACAGAGGGAGCCAAGGCAAAGGTGAGAATCAAGGAGAAGCGTGTTCTTTGGGGGAGAGCGCACCTTGGCCCTAACATCGGCCCCAGACTCCTGTGGGGCCCTGAAGAAGTCACTCTTCTCTGCAGCTCGGGCTCCTCATCTGTGAAACAGACAGTCAGTGTGTGAGGCCCCAGTGAGCAAATGGATGGATCCGTGAGCACCACACCCTGCAGGTGACCCTGGGAGGGCCAGGCCCGGAAGTCCGGGGAGAGGCCACGGGGGCTGCCACAGCCAAACTTCACCGCCCAGTGGGAGTGCTCAAGTATGTGAGAGGCAGCAAGCCAGGCAAATCGTTCTGCCACTCGGCGGCAAAGCCCCAACTCAGCCTCCGCATAAACAGTTTCATACACACTGCCAGAAGGCCCTCGGTGTGGCCGCCAAGCCCTGAAAGTAAGAGCACGAAGCAAGTAAAACTAAGATGCGAACTCTCTGGGCCCTCGGTCACGAAAAGCAGCAGGAGTAAAGGTCTGATGCCCCCTGGAAGGATGGACGAACAACGTACCTGCACTGTACACGGACACACACACGTGTACACAAGTCCACATGCACACTGCACACACATATCCATGTGTGCTCACACTTGGACACACACATCTGCTCACATGGGCACACAGGCATACACACTTGTGCACAAGTGTACACTTCTCCACGCTCACACATGCTCGCCCATCAGCATGCACGCATGTACACACAAGACACATGCACACTCTCTCACAGGAGTGCCTGCTCATGCATGCACACACTCACCCTCAACCAGACTCACACACACACACGTACAAATGCACACACATGGGCCCTTGCTTCCTGGAAGCCAGATTTGGAGCAGAGTCGACCCAGGAACTGCACGGCCTTGGGGGTCCTGGGATGTGCATCCCAGAGGGCTGCCCCAGGTGCTGGCTTCTAAGATGCAGCACAACACAGGGCACAGAGGAGCATGGCTCCGCCCCTTAGGACATGTGAGACTTCAGTGGCTTAATGTCTCTAAGCCTCAGTTTCTTCATCCGCCAAGTCAGGTGAGAATGACAGCCCCTCCCTCACGAGGTTGTGGGGAAGTTTCTCGGTTAATACATGCACAATGCTTGCCACAGTGCCTGGCACACAGCAGCCGCTCAATGCAGGGCAGCCATTTCTCCGCAGGAATATTCCTAGTGTCTCCTGAGACCCCAGTTTGGAAGCCGTGACCCGAGCTGCTCAGCCCAAGACTTCAGGGATGGCCACATGGCCCCAGGGACCCAGCCATGGGGACGCTGAGGAAACAGAGGAGGCAGCCCCACTCCTGAAAGCTTGCTCAGCAAGGGCCTGGCCTCTGCCTGGGCCTGGGCCCTGTGGGTTCCTTTCATGTGCCCCTCGGTCTCACCAACTGCCACTCGGCTGGAGCTCTCCAAGGAGACGGTGTCTGCGAGACAGGAACATCACCAGCCTCCATGACACATGGTCCATGTTCCCCGCCTCCCCTCACCAACACCTGGGAGGGCTCAGAGAGGTGGCCCTGGAGGTCCCTGAACTTCCCGATGCTGCACAACTTGGCCCCACCAGCAGGGGGCGTGGGTGGCTACACATCCTGGAACCAAGAATTTCCCATGAGCCACGCCAAGGCTCCCCATAGTGGGACAGATTGAGTGGACCTCTGCCTCAGTTTCCCCACCCCAACTCTCAGGAGCATAGCCTTCCTCTCATTTCCAGGCTGTCTGAAGAGACCTGCCCACCTGCTCTCTCTCGGCAGTGGCTCTTGGTGGCAGCGGGGAGGCGGGTGGGGAGGCAGCCATGCCCCTATGGCAGCACGTCCTCCAGTAGCCATTCTCCTGTTTTTCCATGATAATAAAACCCCTGACTTTTAGCTGAGCACAGAGGTGCCAGGATAAAGACACCTTTGCCAGCCTCCCTTGCAGCCGAGTGTGGCCCTGTGACCAAGCTCTGGCCAAGGAGATATGAACAGGCGTTGGTGGGGCAATTTCTGAGAAGCTTAGAAGTGACATACAAGCTTTCCCCTTTCTTCTTTGCCCTTCTTCTGTCCTGCTGCCTAGAATGCAGACGTGACAGCTGGCGCTCTTAAACCATGAGGACAAAGGTCAGAAGGATGATAGAAAAGGGACAGCAGGGGCCTGGATCCTGAGGACTTCATGGAGCACAGCCACTCTGGATGCCTACTTTCAAACTTTTATAAGGGAGAGAAGTAAATTTCTCCGCTGAAGCCAGTTATCTGGGGTCACTATTACTTGCAGCTAAACCTAATCCTGACTGCAGTGCCCCCTACACAAGCTGCGGCCTGCTCTGAATCATCCTGCTCCTGCCTTGTCCAGCTCTGAGCACCACCGGCGGCTCCGAATCTCTGCCGTTGGGCCCTGCATACCAGTGGGATGTGCACGGCAGCGTGCAGTCAGGCTGGACCACCCCACGCCTGTGAGACGACAGAGGCGTGACCCCTGGCTTTCCGCCCGCCAGGTCAAATCCTACAGCTGGAGGCAATCCCCCAACGCTAGCCCTGCCTCAGCCCAACTCCCACACACGCATCCTCCCTCCAGCAGAGTCCCAGCGTGCAGTGGAAGCAACGGGAGGGTGATGACTCCCAGGCCCGGTCCCCTGGGCGGGGAAGGCGAGCCCATCTTCTTCCACCCGCCCCTCCCGCTTCGCGGACGCGGGGAAACTCGGAGCTGCGCCCAGGCTGCCGGCTGCCTGCTCCCAGGGCGCTGCAGCAGACGCTCTCAGGGCCGCGGGATGCCACCTGGGCGGGGAAGTGTCTCTGGAGAGGGCGAGCGGGGACCACACTGACCTTTCTCTGATGCCGGGGCCAGGTCAATGAAGCTGCGACATGTTTCACCTTTGAAAAGAAAAGAAGGGTTTCAGAGAGGAAATGAGAGCCCTAGCCTTTCGCCTCTGCCCCTCCCTTGAGGCCCGTGGCGCGACCCGGCGTCTCTAACCCCAGCGGCGTCGCTCCACCCTCCCTGGACAGCAGCGTCCCCAGCAGCGCGCAGGGCGAGCCTGCGGACGCGACTCAACAGCAGCCCGGGGGCCGCCTCCGCTCTCACCGCCCGGTCCGACCCGCCCGGTCCTGAGGCTCCGCAGGGCCTCCACCCGGCCCAGGCCAGGACCAGGCCAGGACCAGGGCAACAGCCCTCCCGGGCTCGCGGGCCTCCGCTCGGGCCTCTGTCCAACCCATGCTCCACACTGCAGCCGGAGGGACACTTGGAAAACACAGCTCTGTCACGTCAAACGCGCGCGCGCACAAGTACGCGCACTCCTGCTCAAATCCCTCTGATGCCCTCCCAAAGGATAACGTCCAAATCCCTTCACGTGAACCCAGGACTGGCCTCCGCCGGCCTCTCCACGCACACCCCCTGCCTGCACCGACTTCCCCCCTCCTCTCACCTTCCACCTCCTCTCACCTTCTCCCCCTTTCCCTCCTGTACTCCTCGTGCTCCTTCTCACCACAAGGACTTCACACGTGCTGTTCCCCTTCCGGGAACACACTTCCCCCTATTATAAGCTTTCGTGGCCCCTTGGCCTCCTCCTATGAGGTGCCCAGTCACCTTATAACTCTGCCTTTGTGTGTGTGATTCTTGGATAGATGGCCCACAAGCTGTAAGCCCCATGAGGGCAGGGGCACGTCCTCAATGCATCTGCAGCTTAGTAAATGGCAGCTCCAAAATCTGTCGCCGTCCTTGATTTCTTTCTCTCACACCTCCACGTCTGGTCTGTGGCTCCAGCTTCACAGCCTGTCTAGAATCTGACCGCCTCCAGCGGTCCCAGCCACCACCGTCTCCCACCTGGATTGCTGCAGTAGCCTCTGCTTGGGTCTCCCTGTTTCTGCCCCTGTCTCCACAGTGGCCAGAAAGATCCTCTTATAACCTAAGGCAGATTATGCCCCTTCTCTGCTCAGAACCCTCCCATGGTTCCCAATTCACCAAGAGTGAGCACCTAAGTCCTCACTGTGGCCTACAAGGCCCTGTGTGATCTGCCCCCTATCACCTCGCTGACCTCATCTCCTACTAGCTTCCCCCTCTCCCACTCCACTCCAGCCACGTTGGCCTCCTTGCTGATCCTTAAATATGCCGGACACACTCCTGCTTCAGGGCCTTTGCACATGCTACTTCTTATGCCTAGAGAATTCTTCCCTCAGATAGCTGAACAGGTTACCCTTCCTCTCCTTGATCACTTTCCTCAAATGTTAACGTCTCAGGGAACCTTTCCTAACTAATCTATTTAATATTTAAAATGCCCCGCAACACTCCCCATCTCTCTTCCCACTGGACCCCTAGCACCTAGGACAGTGCCTGGTACATACCGAGTGCTCGATAAATATTTTTTGAAGGAGTATATGGATGAATGAACAAACGAATGCCTTCCACCCAATCCTTATGCCTATAAGAAACTTGAGCTCTTCAGTCTTTCCTCTGGGTCTCCCTGATGCTGGGCACTGTGCCGGCCACCCAAGACGCAGTGATGATCAAGACCCGGCCCAGCCTCCAGGAGTTTCTCATGAAGGGAGCACACACTGGACCCCCGCTCACAAACACGTTATGTTTGGCCCACATGGGATCCTAAAAATAGGGAAAATGTTGCCGACAAATCCAGACTTCTGGCTTTCTCCTGAAGAATCAGAAGATCTGGCCATGCTGGGCCCACAACCTCAAACAGCAACAATCAGATGGGGCCAGGCAGGCGCTGCCCCCTTCAGATGGGACATTGATCTCTAGTTTGCCACAGCCTCCACCACTGCCCGCTGCTTTACTCCTAGCCTCACTTAAACCACCCAGCTGGTCCCCGAGACACTAGACTCGATGACATTTAGGGTGAGCTTGCAATCCTTCATTTAAGGATTTTACTGCTGATCCCAGCAAGGAGACAGATTTTGGGTTAAAATGGAACCAATGTGGGCTGGGGAGTGAAAAAGATCTGGAAGCTTCCAGCATTGTCAATTCTTGTGTCTTCTTGGAGCTTCCTAATTTCTTCTCTAAGAAGGTCGCTTGAAGCCCCTTTGGGCTCCTGAACTTCCCTCTGGCCCCCTGTAAACGCACAGGCAGACATGGGGCGTGGTGGGAGATGAGGCTGAGAAGGAAGGTGAGGGCGGGATCCCGAAGGGTCTTGAGGGCTAAGCTAAGGAGCAGACTCCTCACTGTGCACAGAAATCGAAATATAATGATGTACACCTGAAATTTATAGAATGTTATAAACCAATGTTACCACAATAAAAAAATAAATTAAACAAATAAATTCTTCTAAATTCCCCTCTCCCCCGCAAAAAAAGGAGTGGACTCCTCTCTTATTAACGCCAGCCCGTCCAAAGAATCACAAGGCCAGGGGTGGACGGATGCTACTCCTGTGGTTCCATCATGCTTGCTTCCTCCCCAGCCTCCACACTGAGATGCAGGACCCTTGCCTCCCTTTACAGATGAAGAAAATAAGGCTCAGCACTGTTGAGTGACCAGCCAGAGCCACACAGCAAGTTAACAGTACTGAGATTATAACCCGCTGAAAGAGATGTTTGTTGACAGCCAAGCACTAAAAGGGAGAATTTAAAAGAATGAGAACAAGTGGTGTGCTAAAATGGATGGATTTTGAATGAATTATTTTAAACTTTCTTCAGTGTTGTATTGTTTTCTCAAAGCTGGAGAGGGAAAATTTTAATGGCCAAATTCAGACCAGCACCCAGGGCCACACTAAGACTTTGGTGGGCCGTAGGCACTTTTGCCTTTTGGATACCTTCCTAAATAAAAAAGTTAAAAGTTCTATTTTACAACTGCATTAGTAAAAGATAAAATATATTATTATATATTAAAATTTTTCTTTACCTAAATGTTTATTGTTTTTCTTCTGATTTTAAAAGGAATTAAAACACTTTTGTGGGCCCGTGAAAGCACGGTGGGTGCTGGGCTCTGTGTCCCCTGGGCCTGAGAGTCAGCTCAGCAATGCCAGGTCTCCTGGCTCTCCCGTCAGCGTCCTCCCACCACCAACTGGGCTCCTCAAGAACACTTAAGATCTGTGTGCTAGGCATTTGCCTTTTCGTTAACAGTTTTATTGAGACATAATTCACATACCATACAATTCATCCATTCAAAGCGTACAATTTAGTGTATTCTTAGTATATTCTCAAGGTTGTGTGACCATCACCACAATCAATTTTAGAACATTTTCATCACCCCAAAAAGAAACCCCATACCTATTAGCAGTCAATCCCCATTTCCCCCAATCCTCCCAGCACTGGGCAACCACTCGTCTATTTTCCTTCTCTACAGATTTGCCTATTCTGGACATTTCTTATAAATGGAGTCACAGAACGTGTGGTCCTTTGTGAGCAGCTTCTTTCACTTAGCATAATGTTTTCAAGGTTCTTCTATGTTGTAGCTTGATCGGCACTTCGTTTCTTTTTATTGCAGAAGAATATTCCATTGTATGGATATGCCACATTTTATTTATCCATTCAGCAGTTGATGGACATTTGGGTTTGTTTCCACTTTGACTATTTACGAACATTCACGTACAAGTTTTTGTGTAAACAAGTTTTCATTTCTCTTGGGTATATATCTAGCAGTGGAAACGCTGGGTTGTATGATAACACTATGTTTAACCTTTTGGGAACAGCTAGACTGATTACCGAAGGAGCTGCACCATTTTACATTCCTACCAGCAATGTTTGAGGGTTCCAATTTCTCCACATCTTTGTCAACACTTGTTACTGTCTGTCTGTTTTTTATTATAGGCATCCTTGCAGGTGGGAAGTAGTATCTCATTGTGGTTTTGATTTGCATTTCCCTAACGACTAATGATGCTGAACATGTTTTCATGTGCTTATTGGCCATTTGCATATCATCTTTGGAGAAATGTCTGTTCAGATCCTTTGCCCATTTTCAGTTGGATTGTTTGTCTTTTGATTATTGAGTTGTAAGGGTTCTTTATATATTCTGCATACAAGTATCTTATCAGATACCTGATTTGCAAATATTTTCTGTGGATAGGCTTTCCACTTTCTTGATGGTGTCCTTTGAAGTGCGAGAGTTTTAAATTTTAATGATGTCCACTTTATCTCACATCTCTTTTGTTGCTTGTGTTTTTGTGTTGTATCTAAGAAAGCTTTGCCTAACCCAAGATCATGAAGATTTACTCTTATTCTTTCTTCTAAGAGTTTCATGAGTTTAACTCTTACTTTTAGGTCTATTTTATCCAGTTAGAGGTGATTTCTGTGTATGGTGTATAAAAGGGGTCTGTCTTCATTCTTCTGCATGAGCATATCCAGTTGTCCCAGCTCCATTTCTTGAAAGACTACTCTTTCCCCATTGAATTGTCTTGGCACCCTTGTCAAAAATTAATTAACTGTAAATGTGAGAGTTTATTTCTGGACTCTCTACTCTATTCCATTGATCTGTATATCCATCCTTACACCAGTACCACATCATTTTGATTACTGTAGCTTTGTAGTAAGTTTTAAAATTGGGAAGTGTGAGTTCTCAAGCTTTGCTTTTCATTTTTAAGATGGTTTTGGCTTTTCTGGGTCCCTTGCATTTCCATAGGAATTTTAGGATCAACTTGTCAATTTCTGCAGAAAAGCCAGTTGGAATTTTGATAGTGGTTGCATTGAATCTGCAGATCAATTTGGGGAGTACTGCCATCTTAACAATATTAAATTTTCCAATCCATAAATATGGGGTGTCTTTCCATTTTGTTAGATCTTCCTTAATTTCTTTCAATAATGTTTTGTAGTTTGGAGAATATAAGTTTTGCACTTCTTTTGTTAGATTTATTCCTAAGTATTTTAGTCTTTTTCATGCTATTGTAAATGGAATTTTCTTAATTTCATTTTCAGATTGTTCATGGCCAGTGTAT